CATATGAACATGGGTCCGGAAATGCTTCCTAAGGGCACAGGGACCCATTGAAGAGGGAGGAATGGAAATCATTTTTTTGCAATATCTCTCAATCGCGTTGTGATAAATGAATGAAATTTGGTATACACAGCTAAATTTTGATGAGCAATTTGATGGACTAATCCATTTATTTCCACAAGGTCCATTGGGGTGGGTCTGGGGGGGCCCTTGGTACTTTGCGTGTGTAACTTTTTCATCTTTGACTTTTTAACAAATTGGACAGCAAATTCCGTTTTCCCGAACTGTTTTACGTTAAAACAAAAAATTTTAAACAAAAAATAATAATAATAATTTAATACGTAATCAGTAATACACATTATTGATATAGAACAATAATTACGATATGATGATTTGTTTATGGCTTTTGCGATGGTAATACTGCGCGGCAGAGCGCGAGTACGGCAGAAGGTTTCCAAACAGAAGGCTGACATCAAGGAGGACATTCCTCACTGTATTCCGCAATTTAGCTGCAACCGTCACTTCAGGTCCATTCTCTGTGGAGTACCTATATGTAATGGAATTTTTCATACTGCTAATTAAAAGTTCAATAAAAGTGTCAGACATGACGAAAAACTCATATAGTTTTTAAGATTTAAAAATGTAAACTGAAGCGGCAGAGGCGGAATTACCAAATAATTTGATCGCGTCGTCCGCATGAAAACCGCACAAGCCGCTTGTGCCGGGCGGTATCTCGTACGTAGGACAGAACCTATGATGCTCTATAGTAGGATCATATTCGATGCAAAGTAATAAATCATTGCCTGTCAAGGGAACCAATGAAGTACGCCTTTAAGGGTTTTACAAATTGAATAATTTCTTTATACATTATGAAGGGACGAGGGGATCAGTTCAGGTCTGGCACCCTTGTTGCTACAAAAATTCCTTTATTCTCATAAACTATTTATTTTAAATGTAATTTATTATAAATCCAATTTGTTTCCTAAATTCCACATATGTACTACATTTTACCTCTGTACGCGCCACTGTTGTTTACTTGTTTTTTGGAAGCGCTCTCTAATTGACGGCAAAGCTCGCCAGGTTAGTATTTGACGTATAACCGACCAGTTCGTACACTCGATGCACCTGGGCGACTACAGCTACTACCAGAACACAGTGCGTATGCAGCGGTATTTCAGATTTTACATTGAATTTCATTTTAAATTTGCAATGATTTATCTTACGCCTCCTAAAAATGATGACACGATTTTCCTTTGATAAAAGACCGACAACTTTTTGCTCTACTTTGCATCGAATACGATCCTATTATAATTTTCAAAATCACTGCTTCGGCCGTTCCGGTCGCACCGGCCGCACCGGCCGTTTGTCGCCGCTTATCCAGGACGGCGTGTAAGGGTGGTTAATATGGGGGGGGTGGCTTCCGATGATGGAGAAGTGTTGTTTTCGTCTATAGAAGCCAGAATATAGGTGATAAAATCATTTTAAGTACGATTCATTCAAACGAACGTTCGGAACTTCAGGTACATTAAATCACACAATGCGTTCATTTTACTACGACTCTTTAGGATTTTTTTCGCGAGTGAAGTCGTATGTTGCAGTATGTGTAGTATGAGTGAATATTACGTTTTTGCGAGAATAGTCAGTCATTTAAACTACTATGTGACGTCACCAGTTTAGATCAAATGACTGAACTCTTCACCCTTCAGCTGAATATTCTGTTAGTATTATTCAACTAGTATTGTCAGCCGGTAACTTAACCTTTTTCTTTTTGACATTTTATTTGAATGAGGATAAAAATCGTTCAGCAAAATGACGGATTCTGATACAGATGTTTTAGTAAACGTAGACGTTGAAACAGCAAATATTTTACTTAAGTAATGGTCGTAAGATTAATTTTTTATATGGGACATATTTGCGATCCACTTTGCTTCAGGATTATCCCTTTTTTTTTGTGACCTAGGCCAAAGATAATATTGGTGGAATCATTTGTAATTCAGGTCTTTTTCGTATGAATTACATAAAAAACCGACCTAACCTCTTTCTAGTTTAATTTTTTTATATAAAAAATTTAAAAACATATATGGGGAGCCTTGAAGCTATATGTCAAAGTCGTCAAAGTACATATGACAGGCTGCACCACTGAATAGTGAATATATACATTTTCGCGATCTGTTCAGGTTAGACAAGGTTAGAAATAAGATTAAAAAGAGATAGAAACAGTAACTACAAGTCAGACGTATTCACCAATATTCACTCGCGAAAAAAAGCCTTTTATGAACGTTCCTCTTAACTTTTTTGTATATTTAAATTTTTACACGCAAATATCAGAAATAGGTAGAAAATTTTATTCTAGACAAAAAAATGTATACCTATAAAAAGTCAAAATTATGCTCGGTTATGAAGATATTACAGAAAATATTTATTAACACATACTCCATATTTTTTGGACATAACTACGTACCCATGATAAATATAAATAACATAATTAATAACCTAATAAACTGAAATGCGGCAGTAATAAAAAGTCTAATAATTTATAATAAATGTTCTACATGTCCCCCATTCTCTTCGACACATTTCCTTAAATGTTTTATGAAACTATTGAGAATAGGGAACGAATTATACGTTCATCTAACTTGTCGTACGGCGTCTTTTATTCTATCCCAATATTCTTCTCATGTATTAATTAGATGTTACAGAGTTGTAAACAATTCCTTTCAAATGACCCGAAATGTAAGTAAAAGTCTAACGTATTAAAATCCGGACAGCCAGAAGGCCAAGG